ACACACACACCCATAACAAAATAAGTAGGAAATAGGACAATTACAGTCCTCATCTCTGTAATTGGTCATATGCCTGTAGTTGGTATTCATAACTACCCTCTTCCACTACTGAAGGGTCTTGGCCTTTAGCAGTCCTGCCTGAATTGGGTTGTGGTTTTCCATTGACTTTAATTCACAGGGTTTGGTGATAACTAAGAAATGTTCCAAGAGATCTCCTGTGTTCCACACATACCCTTTTTACGTCCACCACAGAGTAGCAGTCCCATTTACCTTGGTAGCCATGGTCCATCACAGTAACTCCCTTTTTTGCCCGAGCTTAAAATGACCTGGTGGCAGTCTTAACTTCAAGTTCAATGGAATCATTGCTATGTATCCTGGTGGATGCATTCCTCACTTTGGAACTAAGACCAATAGGTCAGCAGGGTGTAAGGTCACAAAAGTAGGAAGCAAAAATTTTGCTCATGGGTCACTATGAGTAAGAGTGAGTGGTGCCACTCCTATTTCCACACCTCAATTCCTGGACTAGCAAGTCTTGGCTATGGGAGAAATAGCATCATATATTGAATGCTAATTTAGAGCATATACAGGCTCCCGGAGAAATTTGTCTCAGTCCTGTAAGGTACTGATTACTTGATACTGTGACAGAGTCTTCAAAAAGTCATTTCACTGTTCTATCAAGCCAGCTGCCTCAGGATGGTAGAGAACATGGAAAGACCAGTGAATTTCATGAGCATAGGCCACTGCTGCACTTCACTGATATGAAGCAAGTTCCTTGATCAGAAGCAACGCTGTTTGAAGTAGCATAATGGATAAGGCATTCTGTAAGTCCATGGATGGTAGTTTTGGTAGGTGCATTGTGTGAAGGGAAGGCCAATTCATACCCAGCTGTGTCTGTTCCATTAGGAGCAAAATGCTTCCCCTTCTATGATGAAACTGATCTAATGTAATCAACATACCACGAGGTAGCTGGCTGATGTTTTCCTGGGAGTGGTGGGATACTGGGACTCAGGACTGGTCTCTGTTGTTTAAATTGGACACTCAGCACAGCTGAAGCCAGGTCAGTTTTGTAAGTCCATGTTGCTGAAGCCCATGCATAGCTTCTATCCCTGCCCCCATTGCCACTCTATTCCTGAACCGATCAGGCAATGAAAATGGTGGCTTTGGAAGAGGCTGTTATCCATAGAATGGGTCATCCTACCCAACTGATTATTGAAATCCTTTTCTGCTGAGGTCACCCTTTGGTGGGCATTGACATGGCACACAAATATCTTCATGTTTTTCAACAACTTTTTGAATTTCAGTTTTTCAACTCCAGATCAATTCACATCTGGTCACCAATTTTCTACTTGTATTCCTTCTAAGTCCTTGATCCCAGCAAAACCATTGGCCACAGTCCAGGAATCAATATATAATTGCACATCTGCCATTTCTCCTTCCAAGAAAAATGAACAACTAGGTATGCTGCTCAGAGTTCTGCGCACTGAAAGGATTTCCCTTCACCACTGTCCTTCAGGATGTGCCAGAAAGGGGCTATAGTGCTGTAGCTGTCCACTGTTGGGTGGTGGTTGCATATTAGGTAGAACCATCCATAAGCCAGGCCTGAGTTTTCTCTTCTTTTACATTAAACCAAAGCAGGTCTAACATTTGTAATCACTCTCAGTGGGCCATCTTTTTATCTATGTTTTAGCCAACAAACAGAGCCCTTTTTAACCTCTGAAGCTGCAACATTCAATAATACAGAATCCCAGCTCAGTGTATCCATCTCAATACATTTGGCTTGACCATACTCTCTGGATTTCTGTCTGTATAAATTAGAAAACTCAAGTAGTTCTTTTGGATGTAGAGCCCCTCATGGGTCACTTTGCCCTTCACTTTCCATGGCCTGCTGGGACTTGTGTCTAATTACAGGTTGCTATAGATAGAATGAATGTTTGTGCTTCGCCCAAATTCATGTTTGGAATCGTAACCCCCAAGTTATGGGATTAGGAGATGGGGCCTTTGGGAGTTGGTTACTCACAAATGGGGTTAGTGCCTTTATAAAAGAGACCTTAAAGAGATCCCTTGCCTCCTGTTATGTGACATGACAGTGAGAAGAGGACTGTCAATGAGGAGTCAGGTCCTCACCAGATAACCTTCTAGCTCCTCGATCTTGAACTTCCCAGACTCCAGAGCTGTGAGAAATCAATTTCTGGTGTTTCTGAACCACCCAGTCTATGGTATTTTTGTTATGGCAGCCCAAACATACTATGACACTGCCTAGAAGCACAGAGGGTTGATGGGAGTTGATCCTGAGGAGAGTCAGTGTTGTCCTGAGTGGAGGCCACTGAAGTTTCCCCCAGGTAATACAGAGTCAATCCTTGCAGACGGGAAGAGAGAGGATGCTTCTACTGGCAAAGACAAATCAGAATTAATGATCTTAAGGTCCCCAGCTCCATCAGTCTTCTCACATGACACCATTCCAATTTTCAGGATCTCATTCCTTCCCATCAGTCTTCCAACAAGAGACACCCTGTGAGGCTGGGAATTCCACAAGTGTTGTAGGTCAGCCACTCCCATTATGAGGTTCTGAGTTTGGCTCTCAGCAATCTCAGCCCTGCTGTAGGTGATAAAGATCTCTTTCAGGGCACCATAGATACTATCAGGTCATTTATGTGTTGCTTGAGTTGGTAAATTGAATCCCCAAACTCATCCTTTTCTTCCTCTACTTTGCTCAGTGATGTTAGGAGCAACCAGCCAATCTCATCATACATTTATTAGTTTGACAAAAGTGTTTGAAGTACCCCATCATGGCCAACCAGGTCCCTGCTTCTTACAAGTAGATTAGGTTGGTTAGGATACTCAATGGTGATATTTTGCATCTCTCTATTGCCAGGTCAAGCCATGGACTATCAGTGCTCTCTCTACTACTGGAAATAGTCATTAGTGTCTTTAATCAGATTAGACGGCCAATTCCAGAAGCCCCAAAACCAATTCAGAAAATTTATCTTTAAGATTCTAGTCCTCTAGAACCACTCCTGGTACCAAAATCTGTATTAGTCAAGGTTCTCCAGAGAAATAGAACATATAGGGCAGCTCGGGTGGCCCAGTGGTTTAGTGCTGCCTTCGGCCCAGGGCGTCATCCTGGAGACCCCGGATTGAGTCCCACGTCAGGCTCCCTGCATGGAGCCTGCTTCTCCCTCTGCCTGTATCTCTGCCTCTGTGTGTGTGTGTCTCTCATGAATAAATAATCTTTTAAAAAGAAATAGAACATATATATATTAAGAAATTGGCTCATGCAGTCAGGTAGACTGTTGAGTGCAAGTCTACAGTGTGTGTAGTGTGATCTGGATAATACAGGACCGCGGGTGCAGTTCCAGTCCAAAGGCTGGCAGCCTAGAGATCCAGGAAACGGATGGTGCAGATGGAGTGTGAAGGGATCTACTGGTAAAATCCCTCTGGCTCAGGGAGACTGGTCTTTTTGTTCTATTCAGGCCTTCAATTGATTGGATGATGCCTATTCTCATTAGAGAGGACAATCTGCTTCACTCTACCAATTAAGACGTTAATTTTATATGCAAACACCCTTAAATATCTGAGCACTCTGTGGCCCGAAGTGACATAAAATTAACCATCCCGAGTATTTTTTCAAACATATCATGTTCTTCACAACGAAGTCTATAAAGACAATGAGGGAAAGGAAGCACTTGGTAATCCAGAGAGCAATGGTAGGCAAAATTTCTCCAAGATTTGGAGATTTTGCATTAATCTAATACAGGTTTTGGTACCAGGAGTAGTTCTAGAGGACTAGAATCTTTTTTTTTTAATTTTTTTAAAAATTTATTTATGAGAGAGAGAGAGAGAGAGAGAGAGGGAGAGGCAGAGACACAGGCAGAGGGAGAAGCAGGCTCCATGCACCGGGAGCCCGACGTGGGATTCGATCCCGGGTCTCCAGGATCGCGCCCTGGGCCAAAGGCAGGCGCCAAACCGCTGCGCCACCCAGGGATCCCGAGGACTAGAATCTTAAAGATAAATTTTCTGAATTGGTTTTGGGGCTTCTGGAATTGGCTGTCTAATCTGATTAAAGACACTAATGACTGTTTCCAGTAGTAGAGCACTGATAGTCCATGGCTTGACCTGGCAATAGAGGGATGCAAAGTCGTACATAATTACAATGTTAATAAGGCTTTAACATAAATTTATGAATGTTTTAAAACAGTGGTTTCTATGTATTTAATATTGTTCTTCATATTAATGTAATTCAGATGTCCGCTGGGGGCTGTTCTCTGCCCCCTTCAGGTGTAGGCAAAAATATTTCAAATCCTAATGATTCCCAGCCTTTAGAATTTCACAGCTTGGTTCAATATTCCTGCTAATTTCCGACTTCTAAATTCTCCTCATTTCTGCTCCATGAGCTCTTGCTCTCCTCATTTCTTGTCCCATGGGGAAGGACACTTAATGGCCCAAGTCACCCAGCTGTCCATCACCCCACATGACATGTGGATGTTCCTGTAAGAACAGAACACCCCCCAAGGAAACCAAATACGTGAGGAGGAACCGTTTCCAGGAGAAATGAGGGGTTTTTACCTCAGACATTAACAGTTTCAGCTGTCCTTAGGTTAAACATGGGATAACCATTTGTCTAATTTCGACACCAAGTTTAAACAAAATGGCATCAGATGACAGAGGAGGGGGGCAATGAATATTGCATGCCAGGTGGCAAGGAGAAATACTTTCAGAGGCCTCTTGAGGTGAGCCCTTAGGATTGAGTGTGATTTGTCAAGCCAAGAGGGGATTCCAGGAAAAGAGGCTTCCAAGCTTGAGCAAATGGACGTAAGTACCTCCTCTTCCAGACCTCTCTTTTTTTACGCTCTGGAAAAATCTGTTTGAAGCCACCACAAAACAAAGGATAAAAGTGTCCTGTTAGCGCAAGGATAGAGGATTAAATGATCTTTAGTTGGACTGAAACACAAGCCGGGCGGATAAACAAGTGACTAAATCCCCCTAGAACCGCACTTTCTCACCTGTTACATCAGGATGGCAGCACTAGTACCTTAAGGCTCAAGCGACGATTAAATGAGATGATCCCTTACCCAGTGCTTCCGCACACCGTGAACGCGCAACTAGCTAGGCACCGGCAATCAGAAATGTAGCTGGAAAACGGAATTAGATGCTAAACGCCGGCTAGGTTCCATTTCTTCAGCGTGGAGCGTGAACTCGAACGCAACCGAATACCGTGGGAGCAGAGTATTTAATGTACTCCTTCGAACAGTCCAGGCACAGGCACACACAGCGCCACAAAACCGAGAGGACCGAGGAAGCAGAAATAACGAGCGCGCTTAGATGCTCTGGTTTTGTGAGCCGCGACAGGCGAGAGGCAGGGGCTGCGACCCGCCCAGGGCTCCGCCGAAAACTGCTGGGCGCAGCACTCCGCAGCCCAGGGGAGCCGCGGCGGAGGGACCGCGCGGGGCGCCCGACCCCGCCCGCAGCCGAGCCCCGCCCCCGGGAGGTCACCGACCGCGACGGCGTGGTCGTGACGTCGCTTCCTGTCGCCGGCGCGCACGTGGGAGGAAGTGCCGGTGCCCGCGGCCCGCCGCTCTCGCTGGTCTCTCCGGTTACGTCCGTCCGCCGGCCGGGCCGCCGCCTCCAACTGGGCAGCTGCAATGGGAGTCCCCGCTTTCTTTCGGTGGCTCAGCCGCAAGTACCCGTCCATCATTGTCAACTGCGTGGAAGAGAAGGTGAGGAGGCGCCTGACGGTCTCCCGGCTGCGGCCTGGCGCTCCGGCGTGTCTAGGCCGCGGCCCTCGGCGCTCACCGCCTGCCCGGAGGGCATCGCGCCGGGTCCGTCGCCGCCCGCTCGGCCCCGCGGGCTGGGCTGGCCCGACCCACTGCTGGGCGGCGGTACACGGAGTCGGGGCCGGGAAAAGCGGGCGGGGCGAGGGCCAACCCGGTACAAACTCGCTTGAGGGCTGTACCTCCCTTGCCCGCTTTTTCCGGGACCAGAAGGCCCCGCCCACGGCTTTGTTTCCTCCGGGCCCCGCGCGGTCGGGTTTCGGAAGACTTAGGTCTGCGGAGCTCCTCCCGGCCGCTCCGCTGACTTAGCCGAATTAGGGTTGCAGGGGCTGATCCTGGCCCTTAACAGCCTTGAAAGCAGTGTCCGGCGGCGAGCTTCGTGCTGTTGCGTGTCGGTGCCGGAGGGGTTTTCTCGCAGTGGGAGAGGCCGTTTCTTGCTGTAGTTAACATCTCACGGCGAAAGCGGCCCCGCGGAAACGTCTAGGGCGAGAGAAGTCTAGGTGCCCTGCTGTCGCACAGCCTGCTTGCTAAGATGTTGGGAATTCCTGGATGCGCTCTAAGAATACACTTTCTGTTGTTACTGCATGTGTAGACTTTTGCCCAGTCTTCGGTTTTGCATTTATCGCTTCCGTGTTTCCAATCCGAGTTCGGTTTTGTACCCTTAGTTATTACGATTTTTGGATTGTGAAGGTTCGAGCCACATCCTGCCTCCCACCCCTTCGTTTCTGAAGGAAGTACCCAGCCGTCACTGTGAAAACTTGGTTCTTTTGTTAAAGCTGGTGAGATTTTTGATTTTTGCTTATTTGCTATACAAGGAGGAATCGAAAGCCCAGTGATGGCATTCCCAGTATTCCTTGTGCTTTTAATAAAGAGGAACTACTTACCTGAATGCTCATTTCTTTTGTTTTTGAAAACATATCAAACTTTATTACATCTTGTAATAGTAATGAGATCTTACATCTCATTTCCATTTTTACTTTCTAGTGATAACCACTTCTGTTTTGGTTCTGTCTCTGAATATCATGTTTATACCTGATTTACTGGTTTTGGATCTAGCTATGGAATTCCAGCTATGATAGAAGAGGATTTAGTCACTTATGCAACCCCTCCTCCATCCTCCTAATAATGGTACATCACTATCTTTATTTCTTCGAAGGGTAAAATTGATAATATGCCTTTTATTTTTTATTGTATCTCCTATATAAAGAATCCCTGACTTTTCACTGTCAAAGCTTAGGTATTAGCTTTTCTACTCCAGCTGCGGTTACTCTTCACCCAACTTGTCAGCTACACTTTTCCCTTGTTGGCATCAAAAATTAAATTGTCAGGCACAGTGTTGGTGACACTGGTTCGGTTTAAAAGCCAAAAAATTTAGGGGCATCTCGGTGGCTCAGTTAAGTGTCTGATTTTGGTTCAGGTTGTGATTGTGGGGGCCTGGGATTGAGCCCTGCGTGAAGATCCATGCTCTTCAAGGAGTCTGCTTGTCCCACTGCCCTTTCCTCCACTTGTAATGTCTGTCTCTCTCGCTCCCTAATAAGTATAATCTTTAAAAGAAAAAAATCAAATGATATTCTCAGTTATCGTTACAATTCTGATTCACGTTATGTGCTACTTTTGTCTTTTTCTTAGTGTTGGTTTTCTCTTTTCCACGTTACATGGTTTCCCATCCAAACTCTCTGTTGTTTCAGTCTACTTTCACCTTGGAGACTGCTTCTTGAAGTTTTTTTTTAAATTTCTGTTGCTGTCAAACCTGGTTATTTAGGCTTGCTGAAAAGCTGCTGCTTGAGGTTTCTAACAATTCTTTCCGTTCAGTTGGACGGACTGTGATCATCTTTTTTTTTTTTTTTTTTTTGGCTTAATCCTTGGTTTTTACTTTCAGAGGAGTTTTTAAGAAGTGCTATGTGGGATGTGAGCTTTCTGGGTCCATTCTAGCCTTGTAAACATGAATGATCGTTAGCTAAGCGTAGTTTGAGTTTGAAAATACATTTAACCAACACACTTATTTAGTGTTGAACATGTACCAAGTATTGTTCTATGCTTTCATTTCTTTAGAGAAAATATCTAGGAGTGAAGTGATTGAATTGTATGGTAGGTGTGTGGTTATTTCAGAAGGAAAGCTTGCCAGACTGTTTTCCCAAGTGGTTGTACAATTTTACATTAGTAGTTTACGAGAGTTCTAGTTGCTCTGTTTCCTTGTCAACACTAGGTATGTTTAATATTTTCAGTTTTAGTCCTTCTAATATAGTTTTATTGTTAGGTTTTTTAGTAACTAAATGGAAATGAGACCGCCAAGGCAAGCGAGGGTCCAAGAACAGATTTTATTGCAGGCACCCTCGGGCGAGGTTCCACGACTCACGGAGGAAAAGAGTGAGTAGGGGAAGTCGCGCCAAGACAAGGTGGCAGGGGGTTTACATAACGTTGTAAGGCAGAACGGTTTCCTATTGGTCGGCTCATATGCAAAGGAAGGATTGCAATCCAACCAGTCAGAGTGACCCTCACTATGCAAAGGAAGGATTGCAGTTTGGCCAAAGGTGACTTCCTCCTCTGGGGTTTGAAGGGCATTGGGTCCGGTTGGGTAAGTCCAAAGGAGAGGTCTAAGGGTCTGCGTCAAGCTGTCAGCAGGTCATTGGTCCATTGGCGTCCCAAGTGGAGGTGGTGACAGGAACTTAAGCCATTTTGGGGTATCCGCCATCTTGAGGAGTTTCCCTTCCCGCCTGGCCCCAACATTTATCTCATTTTAATTTGCGTTTCCCTAGTGACAAATGATACGGAGCATCTTTTAAGGTGCTTGTTTGCCTTCCGCATATCTTCTTGAGTGAGAGGTCTGTTCAGATCTTCTGTCCCCTCTCCCCTTTTTGAGACAGGAAAAAGTTTAAAGGAGGGCAGGGAGAGAGAGAATCCCTAAGCAGGCTCCATGCCTAGTGCAGAGCCCAACTTGGTACTGGATCTCACAACTGTGAGATCATGACATGAACCAAAATCAAGAGTCAGCTGCTAATGGACTGAGCCACCCAGGTGCCCTTACGTTGATTTTTTTTTTTTTTAAGTGTTAAACCCACTTTGGATAAATTCTACTTGATCATGATGTATTGTTTTTATGTACTGTTGGATTCAATTTGCTAAAGTTTTCTTGAAAATTTTTACCTTTATGCTCAAAAGGGATAATTGTTTTCCAATGTTCTTAGGTCTTTGTCCACTTTAGGTATCAGAGTAATCTTGATGTCAGATTGAGTTGTAGTGTCTATCTCCTCTTCAGGGTTGTGGAAAAGTTGGTGTTGAATAGGTATTATGCCTTCCTTAAGTATTTGGTAGAATTCACAAGAGAAGCCATCTGAGCCTGGAGTCTTTTTGGAAGGATTCTTTTAGCTGTAAATTCAGTTTCTTTAAGTGGACATGGAGCTATTTAGGTTATTTTCTTTTTTCTTTTTTTAATGAGTGTGTGTTTCAGTGATTTTTGTCCATTTCATCTTGAGTAGTCAAATTCGTTGATATAAAGTTGTTCATAGGATTCTTTATTATGCTTTTACTCTCAATAGAAAATGTAGTGATGTCATCTTTCTGATTCCTACTACTAATTTTTCTTTTTTGTTTCATTATCAGTCTAGCTAGACTGATCTCAAAAGAATTAGCTTTTGATTTCATTAATTTTTTTTCCTATTTTTTTCTGTGAATCTTTTTTTATTGACTTTTATTTTTGTTATTCCTTATACTCACTTTGGATTTAGCTGCTTTTCTTATACTGGCCGCTGAGGTCATTGCTTTGATATATTGTTTCTTCTCATGTAGGTTTGGAATGCCTGCTACTACTGCCTCAATTACATCCCACAAATTTTGAGGTTGTGTTTTCCTTTTCTTTTTTTTTCTTTTTAAGATTTTAATTTATTTATTCATGAGAAAGACACAGAGAGGCAGAGACGTAGCAAGAGGGAGGAGAAGCAGGTTCCATGCAGAGTCTGATGCGGGACTTTTTCCTGGGGACTCTGGGATCACACCCTGAGCCAAAGGTAGACGCTCGACTGCTGAGCCACCCAGGCGTCCCATTATGTTTTTGTTTTCTTTTTTTAAAAGATTATTTATTTATTTATTTATTTATTTATTTATTTATTTATTTATTTATTTATTCATGAGAGACACAGAGCACGAGAGAGAGAGAGAGAGAGAGAGAGAGAGAGAGAGAGAGAGGCAGAGACACAGGCAGAGGGAGCAGCAGGCTCCATGCAAGGAGCCCGATGTGGGACTCGATCCTGGGTCTCCAGGATCACAACCCAGGCTGAAGGCAGCGCTAAACTGCTGAGCTACCAGGGCTGCCCAATGTTTTCGTTTTCATTCAGTAACAAATACTTTCTTGTAGACTCTGACTTCTTTGGCCCTTTGGTTATTTATAACTGTTACTTAATTTTCAAATATGGGGGATTTTAGACATTCTTTTGTTATTGATTTCTAATATAGTTCATTTTCAGAGGACGTACTTCGGATAATTTGAATCTTTTTTTTTTTTTTTTAAGTTTTATTTATTTACGATAGTCACAGAGAGACAGAGAGAGAGAGGCAGAGACACAGGCAGATGGAGAAGCAGGCTCCATGCACCGGGAGCCCGACGTGGGATTCGATCCTGGGTCTCCAGGATCGCGCCCTGGGCCAAAGGCAGGCGCTAAACCCCTGCGCCACCCAGGGATCCCGGATAATTTGAATCTTTTT